ATACCAAGAATGATTACAATGTTGCAAGTGGTGACCGGCACTGGTAAAGTAAGGAGCAAGATCAATATCCAGATCTCCAAATTTACTTAGGAAGGGGTGCGTCTGAATTCAGCAAGAGAAACTTAGCCATCATGTGTTAATGGAATATAATTTTGAAGAAAAAATTGTAAATACTACCCATACCATGAGTTCATTTGCTGACAGCCTATCTTTTGGATCTTTCTGTATACTGAAAGAAGAGAGCACAGATTCCATACTTGTGTGTTTAAAACATTATATGTATGTTATGTCCTATAGCATATAAAATGAAATACAGTTGATTATCTCAAATGTAAAACTCCATGAACGTGCAAAATTGACACAGCCAACTCAAATGTGATGGACAGAAGTCAGATTAGAAAGAAGATATGAAATCTTAAGGGCAGGTAATTGTAGACAACTAGGTATAACCTGTAGCATGTTTGATCCCAAAATAATTTCTTTTCTCAGATGTAGTAGTAGTAGTATATTGGAGTAAATATGCATTGCATATGACAACAAAGGAACCACGGCTTGCTCCAGAAAGACCAGAGAGTAAAGATGCATAGAAGATAATTGACTGTTTCCAGCTCATCAACAACCAATTTTGTTAAAGGACGATTGACTGATAAAAAGTGCAATCTTTACCATGCAGAGATAAATGAACAGAATTCTGGAGAAAATAGATCAGAAGGTGCACGAGGGCAGGGTGGTCAACAATGGTTTCCATCAGCTCGTACACATTAATCCATCCTTCCCCAGGCTGTGGGGGGAATAAGGGAACTGGCCTGTTGCACACTCAAGCAAAACCAAACCCAGACTCCAGATGTCACTTCTGTAGCCATAGTGCTCCCAACGATCCTCTCGGGCTACAGCACAAGAATGAATATAAGCAACAAAAACAACAAAAATCCATTAAGAGAAACCAAGAAATTCATCTGGCGATCCTGTTTGACTAAAGAACACATTTGACTACAATCACTTAGAAGCCAAATCCAATGCAGCAGGATAATGAAATAATACTCTTATCTTACCAGATAAGTCTATTTGGTAGCACAGAAGGAAGCTAGTCAGCAATATATGTTTAGCAAAGTGAGACAAGTACTCACAGACATATAATTGTATGTGCCAACAAATGTATTAGCCAGTCCTGATGTGCTTGCTAGTATTGCACTGACACCAAAATCAGTGATCTTGACTTCACCTCTGTGATTTACTAGCAAATTGGAAGGTTTTAAGTCCCTGTGTATAATGTGCTTTTCATGGTGAAGATACCACAAGCCCTTCAGCACCTAAATTGGTGGAAAAGATTGACATTAGAGGTACTAAAGAAAATATCTCATGTTCAGAACACAAGTTATGTGTATATCCTACCTGCTTGCAGATTGCAGCAAGATATGGCTCCGGAATGGTTCTGACTTTCTTTAGAAAGTCTGCCAGAGATCCTCCATCCATATACTCCAAGATTATGGATATAGCACCATTATCATAGAAAGACTGGTAACACACAACAACATAGGGACATTGAGATGACTGGTTGATTTTCAATTCCTGTGCAATGTGCCTGCGAGCAGACTCTTCAATATTCATTTGAATAACCTGAATGTAAAGATACTATTAGAACTCTCTCTCAAACAACAAAAGCAAGCGAAAGTCAATAAAGTAACGAAAACACAGAGCAATGAGAAAATACATGTTTCATAAGTCAGAGGGTACTGACATGGTAATCAGATACTCATATGCATGGTTTTAGCATGAATGGTGTGCAAGCACACAGGAAAAAAGTGACAAAGCACAAATGTATCCATCATGGTGAGGTTCAAGAACACTGCCATGAGTTTCTAAACAGATTCGCAAGTTGTAGGCAACTCATGAACTTCTTCTTGATGGTGGCATTTCTTTTTTCTAGAAAAGGAATAAAAGAATTCACAAATTTCAGTCCCAAGTTGTACAGTACCTTTAGGGCAAAAAATTGCCCTGTCCATTTATGTTGGACCAGGCGCACAATGCCACCATTCCCTTTCCCGATGACTTTAACTGCATCAAAATCTGCTAAGCTCAACTGGTTATCTGACGGCCGTATAAGAGATGGCTGGGGAAGAAGAATAAAGAACATCAAAAAAATATTTCAACAGATGCTGCAGTTGCAAGCAGTTAGGTTAAGAATTAAAAAACATATATATACTCTCAACAACACAAGCCAAGAACATATTAATTCAATAAGGCATACCTAAGATCTTATATGCATAGAAACCAGACATAATAAAAAGTAAAAAAGAAAAAATTCAGCTCAAACATCCACGCCATTTTTCTGTTTCTGCTGAAAAGGAAAGCTTTAAAGTTAATAACTATAAAGACGTAAAAGATTATTCTACCCATCATTATTTAGTTTCTAGTTGAGATCCCCAGCATGTTCATAAATGAGTAATGAGTTTTGGATTTCAATAGGCTTTACCCAATTAAATTGGGCCATGGGCAGAGCAACGTAGAGCACATTGCAATTCATCTCAACTAAAGAAAAGCCCCACCTACTCCAAGAATGAAGCTAACAGGAATGGAGCTGCAGGAAATGCCTACTCTAAAGAGCAAAATTCTTATTTGCCTAAAAGAAAAGGATTGTACCTGGTCTAGGGTGACACTGCTGACAATGGTGGTTACAAAGCATAATGCATTACGAAAAAAGAGCAAATCTTTAAAAATATATGGAAATGATGTGCTGCTCCACATGTTATGAACTGGTTTTGAGTTGGATCCGCATAAACTCCATTAAACTACTTGTATTAGCAAAACCTCTTTCCCACACAAATATGCAATAAGCATACGGATGTGTGAGGAATATTTAAAATGCAAGAGGTGAAGGTGTCTAGCTAATTTCTTTAGGATATACCACTGTGGGATGGTGGAAGTTAGTTTGCAAAAACTGATTCGACTAGTTGATCAAATAGGAATCTTATACCCGTTTTAGAATCTGGTACCTGAGTAAATGGAAAAGTTACTTTTACTAGTCACCTTCTAACCGAATCTTACTTGTTCTAAAAGGCGTTTGCACACCATGTATATACCATAAAGCATACTCCCTCAGGCCTCAACGTTCATTTAAAATAAATTTAAAAAAATAATGTTTGAACAAATTTTATATTTCTATGTGCATGTAAAGTTTTGAAATAGACATCCCTAAGATATAATTTTGTCATTGGAAGGTATCTGCGCTCAACAAAGGGGGGATTAAGTAGCATGTAGCGAAGAAGAAACGTAAACTGGACAAAGGAGAAAATGAGAAGAAATTTTTTCAGAACCGACTCCTGCATCCATGACTACCAATGTTTTCAAATTTACGATAAAAATATCAATAATATTACCGTAACAAACGTACGAGCCGAACAAACCAAACCAGCAAGGAAAATATGAGAGCAATTTTTCATTCACCCCAATTTTTTAAAAAAAAAAAAAGAAAAGAAAGAACGAAAGAAAGGAAAAGGTTAAAAGAGGAAATCAGAAAAAGCTTACAGCTTCAACTTGATTCTGAGAAACAACTCTAACCCCATCTCTGTTGACCAAGAGATCACCATCCTTGAAGGTCCCCGATTCAGTCCTACCCAAAACAAACCAACCCTGACATCAGATCAGACAAAGAGCACTAAATTTAATCACATCACCACCACCTGTTCGGGTGAGTTCACTTTGTACGAATATAAAAAGAAGAGATGAGAGATTGAGGAGGAGGAGAAGGACAAGTACAAGAATTTAGAAAGAGCAACTTCATCAGGAGGAGGAGGGACAGCTTGAGATTAGGCGCTAAATTCCCCTTCTTCATTCCTTCTCTCTCAGAATCTCTCTCTCTCTCTCTCTCTCTCCTCTCTATTTTATTGTGGTTTCTTTTTGCGTCCCAAGGCAACAGGATTACTAACCACTTCAGTACTAATGCTGCTAAAAAGTAAAATCCCCCTCCACCAGTCTCCACCTCCAGACACAAAGTAGCACTGCTACCGTGGAAGTAATTAGTAACAGCTGATGCTACTGGCTTATATTGATTTGGGATTCGTTCAAACAAATTTGTAGCAGTAAAAATACTACTAGTATTAGAATTCAACCAACAGACAAAAAAAAAAAAAAGGAAGGGGGTGGACCTGGGGGAATCAATCATCAATGGAGGGAGGAGTCTCAAGGAATTACTGCTTGTATTATATGGAAACCGGGGTTAAAACTTTTACTGCTTGTATTATATGGAAACCGGGGTTGAAACTTTTTTAAGTCAAAGTCTAGTCTTCTTTGTCGTGCTTTATTATGCGATCCAGAGTCGTTCGCAGACTCGTCGTATTTTTATCGGTTGTTGGTCAGCTAGAACGCTTGAAAGTGGGCGTCAAAAACCCAAAATGACCACCAACCCATTTCCATCTTCATTGTTACACCTTTTCCTCCACTTTCGTTTTTGACAATCAAGCGGCGCCCTCTTGCAGACTTTTCCAATTAATCAACCTCTAATTTTACTCGGAGTAGGCTCAACTTTTACTAATCTATTTTGCGTTTCTGACAACAAACTTTTACCTGTTGACTTGACAAACGAACATAGAGATCCCGCACCTTCCGGTCGTACTTCCTGGTACATTTTTTTTTTTTTTTAATCTCTGATGTAGCAGGATAATTTCTCCAGACATATTATAATAACAAACTAGGAGGCATGAACCGGGCGGTAAGCCCTGTGATAATTTATCATGCATGCCCATAAAACATATGTAGTGGGTATATATAATTTTGAAGCAATTGTTTTTTGAGTATGATTGTGAATTCACCTTACTTTTCGGGTATGTGTGATTAATATTTGTTGAAAAGGTATATATAATTTTGAAAATAAAAAGGACATTGACTTTATTATTAGATGTAGTAAGTGGGAATAACAAAAGTAACAGCTAGGACAGAAGGAATGTTTGTTGCTTAAAAAACTCCAAAGGCTAAAGAACTATACAAAGATCTTAGGTTTTAGATACGCAGAAACAAAACAAAGTCTAGTAATTGTCCAGTGAATGAATTGTCTAAAGTAACAAACATGTGGTCTACAGTCTACATATCACTATTCCAAATACTACTGCTGCCTAAGAACTCAGCCCAAGAAGAAAGGCTCTGAGCTGGCAGCATAACAGAGCATCCCAAATCAAATTTTTTAAAAAGAACAGAACCACTAAATACTACTATTAGTATCAACAGCATATAAGCCTCAAAACTAATACCGACGCCGCTACAAGCTCAAAGAAGTTCACGAGCTGACAAAATTTGCACAAGAAATAAGCATCCAAAAACAACCTCTCTAAACTGGTAGCAAGCAACAACAGCGTATTTAGTGCACGTCACTTTGTTGATCACATCGGATGAACGCTTAAAATAGCATAGGAGCCTGGTTCGTTCAATTCGACAAGCCACACGATGGTACAACTTAAAGGTCTGCAAAAAGGTTGAATCGAAATAAAGTGGCAATTCAAGAATCCATGTAGACAATTCAGACCATTAAAATTGCATAAAAGAAAGTTCATTAATGACAAATCCAAATGACCTGGCTACACATAGCCTCATCGTCAGCTCAGGTATCTATGCAAATCTCCAAGTTCAGGTATCTATGCATGAGAATAGAGCAACACATAGCCTCATCGTCAGCAGCCTCAAACATGTCAAGCGCGCTTACACCAATTAGCTTCTCAGCTTCGACACCTAATGCAATAACGTTTACACACCCAGTATCATCATGAAAAGTGACCCAGACCCATGCTCTATAACAAAAATAACATTAACCACCAAAAAAAAAGGAAACCAAGGAATACATAGGTTTTTTAAAAACTAGTAACTAATAACAAATCCACGATGCACCTAGGGAAATCATACATTCCCTGACCTCAAGCAAGGTATAGAATTCCAAGGGTGGCAGAAAAATCATATAGCTCATAACAATGAGGACAGGCCATATGCCAAAAAGTGAACAATGGCCAAGCAACTTCTACACGACCCTTAATCCATGCAGTTTCCCAATCATGATATCCAAACAAAAGCATTATCAAACAAGAACAAATATAAACAAAGGCAGTACCTGAAAAAATAAAGTATACCAAAGCATCAAGAAATAGCAAAGGCACTAACAAACGCATCATAGGACAAAACATAATAGATGGAGTAATAGTCGAATCATGAACAGGGGGGTGCAAGACAGCAGGGTTTGCATATGCACACCCCTCAAAAACCAAACGAACCAACTTAGAGACATTATCATTACACCTAAATCAGAAAAGAAAGCGAGAATATATGCATCAAGACGAGACAACGGCGCAATGGAGGAAAATTAACAAAAGAAACATCACTAACCAACTATCAAGGAGGTTTGCCTCAACATCAGGAGAAACAAGCACAATAGATGAGAGATGGATCGACAGGGAGAGATCACGTGGGAGGCAATACCAACACCCGAAGGAGTAGCAGTAGCCATTCCTACCGAACAAAAAAACACAGGTTAAACTGCCAGGGGCCAACAACCAAGGTGACCTTTGGAGAAAAAAAAGGTCATAAACAGACCGTTGCTAAGAAAGGCAGAAAAGACAGCCCAAACCAAAACTCTTTAGTACAATATAAAAGCTTAAAATTGCAAATCAACTAAACAAATCCTAAACTGAAAAACCTTAAATTAAGCAAATCAACAAAGAGCATGAAAAACCTCCGAAGGTGATTCCAAAAGAAGGGAAAAAACACAAAACGAACCTTTGCTATAGATTCCAAAGCCGAATGCACAAGGCTAGGATGAAAACCAGTAAAATAACCTAAATCATAAAAACGCCAAGAACAACATCAACAAAGTACAGTATGTAAGAGAACATATAACAAAGAAAAAGCAAAGGAAAGGAAAAGTCACAGGAGAAAACCTACAGCATTTAATTCACCATAGTTGAAGACATACTTAAGAACAACTAAGGTACCATATATTTCCTTTTTTCAATGAATAGGCAGCAACAAACATACGGAGTTATAAAAAATCAAGCACACCTCATACAAAAGAGAAATGAAAGAGAAAAGAATTCTTTCACATCTTGATAAATACTTCAAATGTATACTAATCCTATGAACAACATTTGCAAAGCAGGCATCTTTAATGGGTTTTAAGTGGCTTTCAAATAGAGCCATGAAAAATCAGTGCTATAAAATTTAAGACCATAATTACTCAAAATTCAAAGGAGCAACAATACCACAAGTTTTGAAGCTTTAACAAAACCAATGACTTTTCATGGCCTTCATAGTCAGTCCCATGAACAGCAAATTCTACTTTTGCAAGACGATTCCAAGATTTGTAATAGCCATGAGAAAATCATATAACACAAAACAAAATCTAAACCTAATCAAAGATTCCAAGTTAGTTCCTTTACATTTCTTATCATTTTCTTTAAGCTTCACCAATCATTTTCCCATTTCGCAAACAGAACACGAAAATAAAGATCAATCTGCAAATGCCTTATATAGTGCATTTCCTAAAATATTAAAAAATTAAAAAGGACAATTTTTTTCAAGTGAATCACGGTGATATACCTTGACGGAGATTTTTCGGTCGCTCTGGGGTTGCTTGAACTTCTTGACCCTTTTCTTCACTGTCTTCTTCAAAAGCAAAGGCACCGCCATCGCTGCTGATTCTTCTTACGTTTTCCCTCCTTAACCTGCACATTTCACACACAAATCACAATCAGCTATCCATCTACAAGCGTCTGTAAAGAATAGCGCAGCACGGAGAAGAAGAAGAAAAAGAAAGCTGCGGCGCAGCTGAAGGTTTGAGAGCTTACTGTGGATTAGGGTTCTGCGGAGCCGCCCAGATTTGGAATGGAAAAGGTTGTTTGAGACCACATTTAAGAGAAAATGAGAAATTCGGTGGCCTTCACAAGCCAACGAGAAAAGCAAAATCAAAGGAAAAAAGGATACGCAGCAAATACGCAGAGGAAAAATGCACCAGTAAAAGAAACTCGGGGAGACCGAGCTTAAAACGCACGAAGAAGATGAAACCAAGCTCGCAATCAAGCTGGCCAGAGAAGGCGGTGAGAGGAAGGAGCTCAAAAAGGGGAACGGGTTCAAGGGCACAACCAATTTCAGAAAATGGAAATGAAAAAAGCAGATGAGAAAACCCTAGGAAAAAAGGGCACAACCAACCCGTCTTGGAATTCGGACGACATCGGAAGACACAGCCATGATAAATCACACCAATTACCATTCTTGAGGAAGCTCTACTGTTAGCTCTGGACAATGCAGCTGTGAGAGCTGGGAAAGGAAAGGAACTGTACGGCCATCCATTCCAAAGCAGAAAACCCATGGGCGACCCAATTACCCGAACCATTCCAATGGAGCATTTGGAGAAGCGCAGACTTACACAGCTCACGTGCGCGGCACGTGACGACGACGAAACCTCTTGGTGCATTGTATGTTATGTTGATGAGCATGTTCTTTCACATGCTCATAAATTCCACTTCTTCTGTTGCAACTATGAACTTTAGAAAAAGAAAAAATCTTAAACTCAGTCTATAGCATTATGCAGGAGAACGGAGCAATACATGAGTCTGAGACCATCCATAAATACATATTGACAAGAAAGAGAGTGGGAAAAAAACAAAACAAAAAAAAAGAGATCCAGTTCACATGTACAAGTGATTTGTATAACTGTACGTCATAATCCTATGATGTAGTTTCTAATTGCTGCCACACTATATCAAGGAAATTTCTAGTGCAAAAATTTCAGCTCTCTATGATGTTGAAGGAGAATTTGGATAGCAGCTGCGGTACTCCTGATATTATTGGTCCGTAAGTCTACATAAAAGAACCATCAGATGCATTAGTCCCAACTTATGACTCAGAAATTGTACAAATATGGCTGTAAAACAGGCTACAACATTATCAGGGCTTGATTTGGACGCGGAGTGGCTCACTGAGGAATCCACAACGGAAACTTGGAATTTCTCAAAATTTTCAAATTCGTGTGTTTTCAAAAGTACGTGGCAGAATTGTTCCTCGTAACTACCTGAACGTATCAATTCCATAAAATTCTACTATTACACTAATGTCTTCAATAAGGAACAATACCTTGTGGTTTTCATGAAGTTGACATAGAGGTACTGCAAGAAGCTTGAGATTCCTGGTACGTGAATTTCTGACTCTCAGGCAACTTCACAAGAAAGAGTTTTGTGCATTCCTATAGAGGCAGACGTCAGAGTTTAGGTACTTGGAGCTCAAGAACTTGTACCAGGTAGGTAACAAATCCACAGTCCAATGAAAAATACATCAATTACCTTTGGCCTTTTTATATTAGGTGGCAGATAGGGATAAAGTAATGCATCAAAATCAGGCCTCCACCACATACCAAGGCATTCGCCCACCTGAGCACTCAGCTAATTAGTGCACCGAACAAGTATATCTATCAAGTGAATGACAAGCATTGCATACCTCCCAATCAGGCGCACTACAATCTCCAACAGCAGATAACTTGCTTGATAGTTTGCGCTTTAAGCATTGTATATCTAGAGCATAACAAAATTATACATATAACCCTTGCAAATATGACGATTTTAGGTCAAGCTTTGATCTCCATATATGCATAACTAGAGTTAACAGAATATCCCAGAACAAAGCACATACCTGATTCACCTGTCCTCAAACGACCACCTGGAAGCTTATAGATCGAGTTCCGTGCTTGCAACAGCAATACGTGGGGGTGCTTGAACAATTCAACCTGTAACAGTTACTTTATCTATTCATCAATAAAAGAACTAATTACACAAGTAATCTAGGTCAGGGAAAGTAAATGGCCTCATACTCCATCTCTCGCATTCATAGAAACTACAAATTGCACTATACATATAGGAATCATACACTGATGGAGACACATTAACTATGAACTCTATTATTCCACAGGGGTGCAGACTATCATTTCCTAAACCAGCATTTTGACCTACGGTATTTGCAAAGAAAATTCCAAATCCTCCTAATTGTAGCTCAACCCCTTTTAGTCCTGAGAGATATTCAGATCATAATAAACAGGTCCAACAACAATTTTAATTTCAAGTATATCTATAGAACATGCTAGGACATCAGGCTTGACAACAGCCACTTTATTAACTGAAAAAAGGCTCAATCAAGCTGAGGACTGCTACCCCCAATTCATCAATGGGCCTCTAAAACTTGTTTCCTCACACAGTTGTATATAACAAGATATCAACATAGAATGTTACCACATTTTTCCTCAAAATTGAAGTAAGTAGAAGAAACTGCAGGAAAGCCATAATCTGTTGCTTCTAGTGAACCAAAGAAAAGTTGAAAGATCATTATAATGGCGCAAACCAACTAAGGACACTTAAAAACAGATTGAGCCTCAATCTTTCATTGATACTGGGAAGTGAAGATCAGAAACACAAACTTTAGTGCGAAAGACTTGGTGCGGTTCTGATGTTCAGCTATGAATAAAGCCTAATACTTGTCTATTTGGATATGATTTTTTCTGACGAGTGCCTCCATTTAGTTGTTGGTTCACATATATAAACCATTACAGTTAATCGATCTCACAGGGCCAAACACCATGACATCTTGTGTAAAAAACAAAGAGATACTCCAATCAATGCTTAAATTTCAGCATAGGTCAACTTTCCACCGGCCATTCAACAGTCAAGCTGATAAATAGGCCACTAGATGGGGTAGGTTTTCTCAGTATATAACTTGTAACTCACCAACATAAGCGAAAATGCTTGATAACAGACAGAACTAATTTTGCTGACAGTATCACCTTCTTCTCACTTTGTTCTATTTTCCTTTTTGTTTCTTAAATTCCTTTACCCGCCAACTCCATATCAAATCCTTCCTCAATGCCTCAGATTTTTAACATGATTTTGTCGGAATAAAGTCTATTTTCAGAAAGAGTAATGTTAGTAATATTTGCAAAAATCTTACCAGGCATGACCCCTTATTACATTAAATTTTTTATTATTATTATTACATTAAAATTATTCCTTCATTCTTATTCACAGTTTAAAAAAAACATACAAACATTAGCCAACGAAATCTCAGATAGTATCTCAAGCTCCCCCTCTCCCGGGGACAAAAAACAATATTCACCTCGATCACTTAACCAAAATCACGAAATACATCAGCTGTAAGTAGAAAATGCAAAAAAAAATCATTGAGTAAGTTAAGAAAATGCAAAAATCACAAAATACATCAGCTGTATCGATCACTTAACAAGGTCTATCAAAAATTCACAAGCAATTGTAAAAGGAGAAGTTAAAAATGCAGGAGTTAAATGGAGTTCTGACCAGCATTACAGCTTGCACACAGGTCCTTAATCCATGAGCATCATAGCTGAATTTCAACAATGGATAGAAATTAAATTAGCACCACAGCTACAGACGATTAAAATTGTTGAAACTAAATTTGCTCTATCTATCATCGTACTTGAATTTCATTCGAAGGATACGATCGGACGTAGTCTCGTCCTTAAACGGAACAGCTTCTTTGGAGCCAAAATAGTAGCAGTTCAGCGGGTAAATGTCCAACACGTTACCGTAATTCTGCACGCTACTACTGTTTTGTACCTGTGGTAAATCAGTCTGATGATCCCTACTCATCTTTCTATAACTTGTATTATTCAATCTGCAAGCGGTTGGGAGGACAAATAAAAAGGGAGAAGAAACGACCAGGTAAAGTACCACTACTTATTAGCCCCAGCTGCATCGGTGAAGGAGCTTGGAGGATAGAATATTGTAGACTAATCTTGTCAAAGAGGAGTGGGAAAGGAACGTGGCCATTCCTGAGAGAACCGGAGGCTGAGAGCGGGAAAAAAAAAAATAATAATAATACTCGCTAGTAACAGTGACGTTTGGGCCTATCGGCCCAGAAGTTTCCAGATAAGTGTACTGTTTCACTTCGAAAGTGGAGGGGCTGGTGCAGATTTTTTGCTATAAAAAAAAGAGTTAATCTTTCCTGACGGCTCACCATATTGCGCCACCTCATTAATGAAAATTGGCAACCTGTTATAACCTGTAACCATTACCTATTATCAAATAAAAATAGGTTATTCACCTCTTTTTTTGCCTCTTCCTTCTCTTTTTATTGTATTTTCGATTTGCAATCAAATTCCTCCGCTAATCAACTCAAAGTTGGGATCACAGGTTAGACTCCTTTAATCTCTCATTCTCTCTCTCTTTTTTTTTATATGTATGATGTCTTTTATAAACCTAATTTTACTTAATTTTTACAAAGTGTAAACCCTAATTCAATATTTGTGGAAAAAGGATTTCAAGTAACAAAGGAAACAGGGAGGTGATCTAGGATCATTTCAAGTCTATTGTGGCCCAGGAAGTCGAGTAAATCAATTTCATATTCTCTGATTGCCGAAGATACCTCCTTCTTACCGCATAGAGTTGTCAAATTGTCATTGATGTTGATCGTACTTTGTTTTGGACAAAAAACCTCAAAAATCACTAAACTATTAGTCAGATCATATTTTGACCATCAAACTATTTTTAGTTAATAATTGACCACTAAATAATTTAATCAATAAATCCGTGACCATTTAGTAAATAATTGCTCTTTATCTGTGAAATTAGCAATACATGTGGTAAAGCAGGGAGGCAATTTTGTCCAATAACTACGTGACCGTATTTCATAGATTAACTGCTAATTTCATAGATTAAGAGCAATTTATCAACTAAATGGTTACAGGTTTACTAATGTCTAATGTCCAGTTACTAACGAAAAATAGTTTGATGGCAAAAACATGATTCGACCAATAGTTTAGTGGTCGCTAAGATTTTTTACCCTATTTTTTGTCTTCTTCTTCTTCTTATTAGCTATGCTATTCAACCCTAGCCTTAGATTTCTTATATTATTGTAAGGAAAAATCGTTTAAACCATTCTTTATACCTTTGCTAAATGAATATTTTCAACTTTCATTTTTTAAATATTATTTTTACGTCCTTTATAAATTTGGTCTCAACATAAATTTTCAACCACTTTTAGTTTGAAATCACCACAAAACTCATATGTGATCATTTTTAGGTACAAAAAAGTCAAATTTCATTTGTTTAGGAACAAAAATGAATATAATTTGGGTTAGGTCTTACTTTTTTAGAGAAAAAAAATGAATATTTAGTTCGGATCAAATTTCATTTTTTTAGAGGCAAAAAAATGAATATGAATCAGGTTATTTGTTTTAACTATAAATGATATATAGTTTTTTGCCCCTAAAACTACGTGTGAATTATGCGACTGGTTCAAGGTAAAAAGTGATTAAAAACCTACATCATGACCAAATTTTCTTGATTTGAATTTATTAGATATGTAAAATTAATATTTTAAAAATAAATGACAAAAAAATTCATTTTGGCAAAATGTAAAAGACATTTTAAAAGATTTTCCCTTTATCACAGTGGATAAAAAGAGACCATAAACTAGTTACTGGTACAAATAATATAAAGAAATGTAACCAACATTTATTGGAAAATACAACCCCAAAGATTTGGGACCAAAATCGATTAGCGGTGACCATTGAATAAAAGATAAAAACTTTTGTGTGCAAGTGTTCTTAAACCTGAATCTCTCCACGACTCGACCTCTCTTTTAATCCACATTAGGTGTTTTTCACAATAACACAATTACCACTTGACTCTTGGTCCAGAAAACTCTAGGAATTTTTAAGGTATCTCTTAAATAAAATAGAGGGCATGCTGAGAGGCCCACCAAATTGTTGGGTAATAACTGTATTTTTTGAACAAATCGAGAACTACATTCAATATTTTTATAAAGTTCAGGTACGTTGAATGATATTACAATTAATCGAAATGGACTAGTCCTACAGTAAGACATTTGTCATTATAAAAAAAAAAGAAAAAAAAAACACATTTGTCTTCTTCTTTATATTAGACCAGCAGTATTTATGGCGTCCTTTTCAAATTTTCTTAATTCTGACCAATGAAAAACATCACAAGAAGTCTACTTCCACAATTCCGTTCAACACTTTTCTTTGTCAGGTGTAGGGCCTAATCGGCTGCGCGGGAAGAAAATAATCTGAGTTCACATGTGCGAAAAGGAAAATAATAAAAGATTGAGGAAGCTATATACATGAAATGTTTAAGCTGCTAAGCAAAATCAATCATAATTAGGAATTTGGATTGGTTTAGTTGGAGAATCCATTTATCCAAATCCAGTTTCAATCATCAAAACTAGAGTTACAAAAGAATCGAACCGCTCGTAAGTTGATCGCGAGCAGCGCGAGTTCGAAGTCGAACTGACCAAGTTGAAATCGATTTCGAATTCGATTTTAAAAATACTAATCTCGTTAGCTCGTGAGTCGGTTCAAACTCGATTATATATATATATATCTTATTTTAATAGTAAAATATATATATATATTTCTAATATTTTAATATTTGTTAAGAAAAATTATTATTATTATTTATTTTTAAAAATAAAATAAACTTTTTTAAAACTCGATCTTGACATTTTGAACTCGTCGAGTTCAAGTTTGATAAAATTATATTGAGACTCAACTCTATTAGACTGAAACTCTGTTCGGCTCGATTCGTTTACATTCCTAATCAAAACTATCCGAATGACATGTTTTTCCTACTAATTCATGCAGTATATCCTTTGTTTGTTCCATTGTAGATTTGTAAGTGTACGTAGGATGTATTCGGATAGGAGATTAATTGAAAAAAAAAAGTGTTTGAAAAAATACTATAGCATTTTTTATTATGTGATCTATGTGAAATAAAAAAATAATTAAAATTTGTATTTATGATATAAGTTAAACAATATTTAAATTTTTTAAAAAATCATGCTAATTAGACAGATCCTACATTTTGTGACGATGGGAGGAAAAAAACAGAAGCATCTTCTGACGAATTTCCACAATTCGGCAATATAACAATTTATGGTGGCTGGTATTCACAATTCAAATTGTGTTTTGTCAACTAATTGAAAATGATTAGTAAACTTAAGAGAAATTTTATTTATACTTTTTTTCCCTTGTAGCAATGTCATTATTTTTTCTCTCATAAATCCAATTGCTCCCGGAGAAATTATCTTAATTATACCACCTCAAAAATAGCTAAGAGGACAAGAAAATCATAAAGAGGGATTAAAAAGTTTCAGCCAAAAGGAAAAAAGGAAAAAAAAACATAAAAGCATTCAAAGGCTGCCGTAGAAAGACGGGAGGAAAAGAATCTTCTTAATTACACTATTTTATTTTTTTTAAAAAAATTCTAAATACACTACTAGTTTTACGGTTCAGGAAAAAGTACAAAATGAATTTTGCCAACCGATAGGCCCTGAACAAGAACCAAAACAAAGACAAAAGTCAATGTGCAATTCGTGGAAATAACAGTAAAACTTTTGAGAATTTCCATTTCTGTTATTCAGCTTTAAAAGTGAATTTTTGTATATCATTTTCCAGTGTTTTTTTTTTTACTATATTAACTATTCGCAAGTCCTAGGTTCGGCTTCAGCCGAATCAAATACGTCAGCTCGTGCTTATGCATATTCCTAAGGATACTGACTTCAGTCTTCGGATAAAGTATGGTGATAGCACAACAATTATTGAGCAGTATACAAAAGTTTTCCTAAAAAAAAAGAGAACATACATATATATTTTTTGTTGTTGTGGGGTTGTTGGGGGGGGGGGGGTGGAGAGCATACTAAAGTAAATTAGTTTACAAGACACTTGTAAAGCGTATGGTATCCTACAATACTTAAATCACTTAAATTACATTATTGTATTTTTAAATTTTACATTATCATATATCACTTACTCTTTCTATTTTTACGTCATTAAATTAAAGTAACCTTATTTACACGACATTTATAAATTATATCATATTATTCAATAATTTTTTCTTTTTAAGACGAGCGAGAGAATTTAAATTCAAAGATCTCTTATTTACAATCTCTGTCACCTTACCATCAAATACAACTCTCCCCGGTATCACTCAATGGTTAAATCACTTTTATTACATTATTGTACATGACGTGACCTGCTCTTTTATTTTCCATTATTAAACTAGTAGTATAATGCAGATTTTTTGGATACATCCCATGTAAAATCTTAAATCAAATTTATTGTGGCATTTTCTTATTCCTTTTTTTTTTTTTTTTGTCGAAACGATAGATGTCCTATAACCTAATCTAGCCTAGTCTAAGGGGAAGGGGAGGGGGTTCGATGTGAGTACAGACTCCATCGATGAAGGTCAATTAAGACCGCCACAAATTGTGGCAAATTTGTGGGAGGCAGGGATTGAACCCCTAACCTCCAGCATCACCTTTAATAGTGATGACCACTGGACCAAATGGCCAGTGGCGGCATTTTCTTATTCCTCATATTTGAGTTCTTTTTTTTTTTTCCCTCTTTCAGGTACGCCGGAGAAAAGATTAAAGATGATGCAAATGAAGATTTTTGACAATGCAAAAGTTTCTCTCCCAAAGCAACTCTGACAAGAACGCAATTTGCGTTGAAGAATTGACCGTAATTCAACTTCTTTCAAGACCATTGGGGCTGGTCTGGTTGGCCAAGAGTTCGAATCTCGACACAAACAAGAGTTTGATATATTTGGCTCGGCCATAAGATAAGATAAGGTTTTTTTTTTCCTTTTTAATTTTAATAAAGTGCAGCAAAATTAGAGTCCGAAGCTCACAAGAATATTTCACTCAACAACGGATCATCGGAGAGGAGAGTAGGAGGCGGAGGAGGCCGTTACCAAAGTCCTCTATTCGAAGTCTCTCATTCAAAGTCAGTCCAAAGTTTATGATTGAAGAAAGATACAAAGCTTTCCGTCCCATCCACTTCTCCTATGCATAATAGTCAGCGTCAACAATTAATTTTAAACAGAAAATAAATCAAAAGAAATTGGACTCTTTCGTCTCCTCTTCCAACTCCAAACGACCCCGAGTCTCCTGTCCCTTCATCACGAATTGGAGCTCAACTACTCCAAATAGCCGCTTCCCCAGCTCAAACTCCATAAAGGCAGGTTTTCCCTTCTTTCTTTTTCTTTTAATCTTGGTTTTATTTGTAGATAGAAAATGGTGGGGTTTTTTAATTTTTTGGGGCGGTTAGAGGTGGTGGGGTTGAGGAGGCCGGGGAGGGTGTTGGTGCTGTGTTCTTTACTTAATATGTTTCATAAAATTTGGTATTTTTCTTTGAGGACTTGTATCTTGAATTGCTTTGTATTGAAGTGAAGTGAGATGATTCTAGATTTTGATTGCGGTTTTCATTTTTTTTTTTCTTAATGGGTTTCTTTGGGATTTAGAAGTTTGAGCAATAGGTCTGATAAAGTTGCGAATTTTTAAGCTTCACTTGGTAAAACCTGAAAAGATTGACAATGCATGATTGAACTTGGTCGTATGATTTCATGCTCTCACTTTTTAGTGGATTGTTAAATCGATGCTTGAAAAATTAGATGTTGATGATGAATGAAAAGAAATAGGTGATGTTGTCATCATAATTGCTTATGCGCCTGCGGGGTATCATCTGGTTATTGTATATCAATGTTTGATTGTTCTGTTACTATGCTCTCTCGCACTACCCTTGACTTAAATTGGTTGTTGAGTGATGGAATAATAGTGAAGTTTATGTCTCTCTCATTATATCAGGTGTTGTAGAGGTGACAACTGACTGTTAGGCGATTTTGCTTTGGAAAACTACACATGGATCAAAGTGAGTGCCTTCAGTTGTTAATTTGTTCTACTTCATTTCAGAGTTACATATTTGATACCAAGTTCTTGAGTATGAATGTGTTATCAGTATATGTTCCGATTTTGATAATCATGCGGTAATAATGGTATATCATACTGGGAATCCAGAAATTGTTGACACTCCTATGAAAAGTCTTTGATCAAACAACGAGTCATTGGGGAAGGAGGAGAGGTAATGTTAGGTTAGGTCGGGTGGCATCACTTCCTCTATTGCGTGCATTGCTCTTCATGGTGTTGTAATAGGGTTTAGGAAGTTGGCATTTGCTAATGCAGTTATGCTTTAGAATTTGACAAATTTATTGTAACTCAAACCGGGAAATGTACTGTTAACTTTTGTCCGGGGTTTTTTTTTGGGCCCGGGGGGGTGGGGTGGGGGAGGCGGAGGGAAGAGATTGGTTAACTTGAATGTTGTGGTCAATGAGACATGCCAATTCAAATTTAAGTTCCATGAGTGTAACCTCAACTTGGCAACAGTATGTTTATTAAATCATTGACATAAGGAAATTTTCAAGCGTGATGGCCTTTTAACGACTAAATTGGGCTTGTTGATGTTACAGATATTACTATCGAGGAGGGAGATGTAAAAAGTGGCCTTGAATTGGTGAAATCAGTTTCAGATAAGCATCTTGATCTTTTGAGACCATCAGCCCGATATTATTCAATTTTTAAAGGTAGTTATTCTGTTTGTGTGTCATTGTTATGATGTTCTTGCATTTTGAAGTATCGTCCATATATTTGTTGTTTCTAGATGTTTATGTCTTGCACAATGTCTTTCTATTGTTTTACGATTTGGAGATGATATATCTCCTGACATATCTCTGTGCAATATGTACTAAGTTCAAAAGGTTCACTTCTTGTAGCTTGGGATGCCTTGAGGAGGACATTAGGCTTATACTTGCCAGTTTAAGTTTAGAAATAGCTATCTTGTCCTGATAGTGATCGGTCAAGATGTAATGATTCTAAAAAACAAATAAGATGCAAATCTTCAGCAGTAAAACCAATCAGTTGATGGAGAGCCACCCCTGATAAAGAAGTCAGAAAATAGCTATCCTGTCAAAGTGAGGTCACTCTAGGATACATCATAGTGTCAGTTGATGGCAGTTCTTGAACCTGGCATCTCTGTGTGTGTATCTGAGGGAGAGAGAGATGAGGTTTCAACTTTTGTTGGCCCAATGATATGAGTGCAAGATTATTTCGCATGCATTCACATCATCCATCTCCCAAACAAAACCTCTCTGTCTGTCTTGTTGGATACTTGCCTTTTCTGAAGCTCTGATTACCATTGCATAGGAGTTCAACTTTTTGTCCTTATTCCATTTCAAATTTTATTGCATTAAGACCTTTCTTCTAATCAATCTCCTGACCATGTTCCTTCCTTCTTAGGCACTTCTGTTCTTTAATTTGAATAAAACTTCAGCTGAATGCCATATTCCCCACTTGGGCCATGATAGGTCTAGTGGCTAAGGTTGAGGCCTTAGGACTGGGTTCTAATCCCCCCTTCCTGCTCCCCACTTCTTAAATCTCTCCCTCTCCCTTGCTTAGAGGGAAAAAAAAAAAACTCATGCAAGTCTTTAGCTTGATTACACACTTTTACAGTTGTAGACTGATAATTTCTTTGTAGTTTTTATGAAAAAGAAAATGAATATGGTAATTACGTGTCTTTTAATGATAGGGCAAGTGGCAGATGCTTCTGACCGTGAGAAGGGTAAATATACCCTGATCAGAGATGCAGATGACTTCCAACCAAGCATATATGACAAGCCATTACCCTGTTTTGGCTGTGGAGTTGGGTGGTTTTCGTACGTCTCTGATCCATATTTACATTTTTCACGATGCTTATCGCTGCTGCTAGGGGTTGTGCTGTTTCCTTGTGCATCTTTGTCTGATCACCACTTTATTTCTTCAGATTTCTATTAGGATTTGTTTGCCCAATAATGTGGTACTATGCCACATTGCTGTATTTTGGTAATTACTACAAAAAGGATCCTAGAGAACGAGCTGGGCTTGCCGCATCTGCAATAGCTGTAAGTACTCCATGCTCTGCTTATGCACTTGCGCTTACATAGCCTACACAGGTCTTTACATGTGAATTAGCAACCAAAATGCAGCAATGGCAGGTCTTATATATGCCGCTCGAATTTATTTCTTTACTTGTTTTTGGTGCAGGCAATGGCATTTTCTGTTTTCTTCTTGATCATCTTAGCTGTGTGGTTCTACTTTTTTAGCTCCCGCCTTGACAGTTGCACGTGCTTTGGAGGCATTTGTGGGCAAGGGCGTTGTGATCTTGATTTGGGATTTGTATATTTTTCCTTAACTCAGCTGCTATTTCTGATGTAGATATGATTTCTTAGAATCAAATCACACATGACTCCATTTTTCCACCAATCACTATACAGGGGACAAAAAAACACTAAGGCAAAACAGTAGAAAGAAAGAAGGGAAATGTAACCCGCCATCGAAGAAACGACTACAAAATGGGCTAAAGCTCTGTTATAGGAACCGTGATTTGAGAGATTGTATTTTAGGAACAATAATACTATGTTGTTGTTGAATAAATCATTTTTTTGGTGCAATGACGACCATGCTCTACTGTTGGAGATGTTAGCAAAAAACGACTTTCATTGTGGATGGAGAGAGATACAGACTTACAGAGAGACGCCCTTGTTCATATGGCAAGTCAGATATTCACAAGGGTCCAGTCACAAAAGTATAGCATAAAAAGACACTCGAGTTTCATCATGTGAGCTCCCCTTTCCTTCTTCATATGCTGATAAAGAGCGGTCCGATAAAAAACGTCTAAAATTCAGGCTCTTCAAATTAATATTGGTGCTTTACCATTGAAAGCGCCAGGTACTTTTTTTTCCGCGTCTCTTTGTACATACAAATGCAAATGTATACGCAGGACAGAGGAATCCGAATTCAACGATTAGCTTTATGCTTTACACCACCAATATCTCACAAAATTAGATTACAAGTCCCTGACGGTTTACCATCATAGGAGAAGGCTAAGTACAAAAATTAGATCCATAGGGCTCAAAAACTTTTCCGACCGGTACTCGTGCAAAAATGCACCAGGGACAACAAAATATGAGACTTGTTCCAGTTCAGCCTCAAATAAAATGGGTGATCAATAGTTTGATCAAACCGAAGCAATACAGCAATCAGAACTCATATTTTCATGATGGGTTCGCTCTACACTCACACATCTGTTCTTAACTTTTCACTGCTAATCGTACATACTTGCCATCAATATCAAATCTGGAACTGGAATTGATCTGCAGATAGTAAAGAAATCCCAATAAGATTATGCTTCATAACAAGAATAGGAACAAACAAGTCCTTAAAAGCATCAGTTTACCTTTTGCTGAAGAATTTCAGCAACTCTGCTTTCCTCAACTATTGAGCCAGATTCCTTGAGAGACTTCAAACAAGTTTTATCAGTTTCTTGAATTTCAGTGAGCCATCAGGATTCTGCCAGCATGCAGGAAAACAGTTTTACGTATGGAACAGAAATTTCATCATACACTCTACTGGAATGAGAAACATTGGACGACGACGACAATGACGACAATAATAATAATAATAAACTAGTGGGATGGAAGAGCTAGAGGAAAGCAATACGCACAGATTTCAGGGATGAAGTAATCAGCTTCTTCCACTTTATTTTCTTCTTGTCATCTTCGTTTTTAGGAGAGGGATTCACTGACTTCTTGTCTTCAGACACAACTTCTTCATCTTTCTTATCCTTCTCTTTCAATTTTTTCATTTTGGTTTCTCTAACATGGATAATTTCGCCATTGCCCGATTCATCAGGCATATCAACCACAGGTATTTGCCTGGCATCGACATTTTCAGACACCTTGAGCTTTCTCTTCTTACTCAACTGCAAATTATCATTTTCTGCCACAGAGTTGTCCTTCTTCGCAGCAATAGTATTAGACGGCTTCTGTTCTTTTTCTTCCTCAGTGGCTTCGACAGCTTCATTCTTTGCATTGTTTTCAGCTGGAACATCACTCTCCAAAAGGTTTCCTTCACTCTGTTTTGGCTGCTTCGCTGCATGAAAAGCTTTTGCTTTTGCTATGTGCTTCTTCCCTTCTGCATGGAGAAGCAGGGTTTGCTGACTAGTAACATTGGTATTACACAGACTGCAAAATAACACATTAACATTATGAAAGCTCAGATCTAACTTAAAAAAAAGGGCATAGAAACCAAAATATCTTAACCTAAGCCAAGATCAAATAAGGCAAACTGAAGCAACAAATCCATCTACACAGAATAATTTACAGCAGGCACAAAGTTTCATATCTCATCCACAACTGAAGAAGATAACTTATTGATTCCCCAATGAAAGGCTAAAATATAACAATCTTTGTAACTGTCTCAGCTTTACACATCATCACCAGATCTGAAGGATCCCATTTAGCGGGTCTAGGGTTGAGTAAAGCTCATATTTTTTTAGTTCAAATTTCATAGTATGAGCCAGAAACAAAATCTCTCAAAAAATAATCTAAACAAGAATTGGAAGCAAAAGATGGTCTCTGTACTCAAAGTACTTGCAAGCTAAAAGCAAAAGCATTAGGTGTTGCAGAGCATATTCCTATCTTAGTGAGGCTCTGGACTTCATATCATGCAGCTATACATTATTGCAGCCAAGTGGTTTTATTTTCTTTCCTTGAACATCTCTTATGTCAAGAATTGACACAATTTTCAATATAGGTACACGGGAAGGGAAGTACCTGCAAGACCATGGGGCACGTTGAGATAATCCAACATGTATATCAATATCTGGTTTCTGTTTTGAAGCACCGTTAGGCTTATTATTTGAGCCATTAATAGCTTTCCCTTGTCCCTTTGGACCATATTTTCCTGAAAATGAGAGTATCATATCACTTTCAATCAGTCAAGAATGATCAAAGCTTATAAACACCAAAATAACTACATACAAGTTAATAATTAGCAAACAAAGTAAAAGATGAAGGCTAAATTCATCATAAGAAAGTTTCAAAATGAGGACAGGCAGTACCTCAGAAAAATTCATATCACAATTGGTTCATATTATTTGCCAGATTACAGACACACATACTCTAGCTCTTCCTGAAAATAGCACCCTTTTTGAATGATTCTCATATATCTTAATCGTTCATATCTATGTCTCTTAACATTTCCACTAAAAACTTTAAATTACTATGAGCATTCCAACCGAAAGTCAAATTTCAAATGACTTATGATGTCCGTGTAATGCCATACTAATACTATACCCATAATATGGTAATTGTTTGATATGTCTATCAATTCTTTTGGTCCTGAACTACTAATAACCCTCAGTTTCAAGCCTCAACCAATGCATTGAGTTCACAAGATTGTCCAAAGAAAGTACACATTTTGGCCAAATCAGCATAGCAACAGTCAAAAATATTGCTTTTTCTACCACATCAATTACGGTTAAAAAAATCATATTGCCATTAAGGTAATATGGGAAAAAAAAAAGAAATATGAACAGATAATCAAGAGCTTGTATAAACTCAAATAATAGACAAAATAACAATTAAAAAAATCCAAAAAAAGTAAACGGATAAAATAAAAAGGACAACAAAGAATGAGAAGGGCTCGAAACATACAGCTTCTGTGACGCACTGGGTATGGCTTTCAACATTTTGTCGCCCAAATATTTCTCCACAGTCAATGCACGATAGCTGCACAAAATTCACCGAAAAGAAAAGAATGAACATTCGAGTAGATTCAATTTTGAAGCAAGAATCAGCTGAATCCAGTTCAAGAAATTAAATTTACAAAATTCACGAAAAAACAAGGGAAAGAGAGACCTTGGATGCAGAGCAGGTCCTAAAGTGGTTAGGCAGCTTTGGTTTCTTCAAGTTGTCTCCACAGTCATCACACTGAAACCACACCATTTCTCTCGTGTGTGGATGTTTACCGATGAAGAAATTTCTGGAGAATGAATTCCGCCTACAAAATTGTCGTTGGAGAATCTTTTGCGGTAAAATCCAGTCGAAGTATAAAGGGCTTCCATTTGTCAGGGTTTAAGGCTTTTTTAAGTGTTTAGGGTTTTCGGTTTTGGGCTAATGAAAGAATTCGTAGACCGCTTTTAAAATTATTAAGCCCACATTGTGAGATAAGTACCGACGAATGTTTGCAGCAGGACTTTGTTTAGAACGCATTTTAACAAATATTATTTTATTTGCATCATAATTATGATTATCAATTTTTTTTATATTCTTAATAATCTTTTTATTTCACATATATTATATCACAAAAAATGACCTCAATAGAAAATTGAAAGTAATGGCAACAATTGATTGAGTTCAATAGTTCCCGTATAAAATTATTGACTCTAGAGATATAATAATATGGAGAAGACAAAATTGTTTAAGCACTGACAGAATTAGAAGCACCCTCTTTCAAAGAGAGGAGGATGGGTTATTAACATTTCATTCGATCGTTAGTCATTCGATCTGAATGCTACACGAAGAATGTAAGCCAAATGATAAAACGGAAAGACTAGGATGCAGAAGATTGTAAATGAGTCATTCGTATATTTGGATTCATATATCCACCCATGGGGTACTAAACTATTTATTCCTAATAATATCTCAAATAATTTCTTTTCCAAAAGCTCTATTCGCGGCAGCTTCTAAGTTCAATTCTAGTTAAAATAACTTGAATTATTCAAGTATTAAATGCTAATTCAAATGTAAAATTTAAAATTTATTTCTTGAATGTGAGTTTAAACCGTCTATACTTATTTGATTATGATTTGATAATTGATCCATTAATCACACATACGATGCACCTGTAAGCTTGGTTTGAAATCTTACTTAAGAAGAAGAAGGGAAAAAAAAAAGCTTGGTCTCTTTGAATTCTCTATTTTTTGAAAAACAATTTTTTCATTTACAATGCTACAATAATACACAACAAAAACAACACATTCATACAATATATCAAAAATAATTTCAAATATATAAAAAAAATTGAAAAATAAAATTTACACCATTTTCTTCATCCATCTATTACCACTGTCGACCACCGTCACAGCCACAATCCTCTCCTTCCCATTTCTCCTTCTTTTCCATCTCTATCATCACTCTCCTTTTCTCCTCCATTTCTTTCCTCCTCCCTTCTCTTTTCTCTCCCCTTTCTCGTCACATCCACCCCTCTCCTCCCTTCCCTCCCTAGTTTGGCTACAACCAGAGGCATCAATTTGGCAAATGAGGTCTAATCAAGGAGGGGGGAGGGAAGGTGGGATGTGACGGGAAAGGGGAAGAGGAGGATGAAGGTAGAGGAAGAAAAAGAAAGAGAGAGAGAGGGGTGGTGGGTGACAG